ATTGTAATTGATCTCTCCTTTATCATTAAGGATTATTCATTATAATTATTCCTTAATACTTTATTGTTATGCACTAGTCAATAATTATTTATCATTCATCCTAATTAGCTATTTGATTCATTAAAAATAATTGCTTATCATTATACTATGTTATTATTATTTATTATATACTAATAATTTTATTAATTATTAATTTATTATTTATTAATTTATATAATAAATTAATTTGTTATATATTAATTTATTATAAATAAATTTATTATTTACCATTATAAAATAAACAAGTCCCCAATCTGAGCACGTTTTCTTCCAACCTCAGAAAATATCCATTCTATAGTACTGCCACAAAAACGCAACTCCATAATCTTAAACCACACCAAAATATAATTCAACAACAACACACGTTTGGTTACTAACGCTTCCATTAATCAATCCAACTATCCTATTTGCCTTATTACCAACATTCATGCATTGATCCTTTGCTTTTAAATTCTTACTAATCATTACTCCCACATCCCTTTCACAACCCCACTTTGCAATCTCATCACCATCTATCTTGTAACTTTATAATCTTTACCTACTCTCAAAACCTTACATCTTTCACCATTAACTATGTCGGGGTTTTCTTTCTATATATTGTATACCCGTATTTTCATGTCATTTTCCTTCGTGTTCGGTATTATGGCTCTTGTTTTGTACTTTTGTGTAGTGGTGGTACTTTGGTGCCCTTTCTTTACTTCTATTTATGTACCATGCCTAGGCATGTCAATATTATATTAAATAAACTCGCTGCCCATTCTATTGCCAATGTTGCTCGCTTGTTTTCTTGCAACATTTACAATACATTCTTGTATTTGGTGTGTCAATTACATTTTGAAATTAACAACTTGAAATACTCAAGCTGCAGCTCATTATTGCTTCCTTGACACTAGTTCGCATTTGGCAAAGTGAAGGAATGCTTGTTGCCCATTTGATAATTGCCACTTCACACTAGCAAAAGGTTAACCAATGGGGCGAGTTTAAGGATCAATGTCAACCAATCAGCGGCCGGCTTTAGTTACCTGCTGCTTATAAAACCGACATCACAACATTCGTACAGGGGAGACATCTCCCGTCACGTAGGGTGCAGTAATACTTCCACACATCTCCACTGCGGCGAAATTCGCACAATTTTTGGCCGCTAGCGGCGAAATTCGCACGATTTTTGGCCGCTAGCGGCAAAAATAGACCGCTAACGGCGAAAATTGCGCGGTTTATGGCCGGTAGCGGCGAAAATCACGCGATTTTTGGCCGCTAGCGGCGAAAATCGCGCGATTTTGGCCGGTAGCAGCGAAATTCGCACGATTTTTGGCCGCTAGGGGCGAAAATAGCCCGATTTTTGCCCGACAGCTACGAAAATCGCACGGTTTTTGGCCGGTAGCGGCGAAAATCGCGCGATTTGGGCCGCTGCCGGCCAAAAATCGGGCTATTTTTGCCGATAGCGGCGAAAATTGCGCGGTTTTTGGCCGGTAGCGACCAAAATCGCGCGATTTTGGCCGGTAGCGGCGAATTTCGCACGATTTTTGGCCGCTAGCGGCGAAATTCGCACGATTTTTGGGCGGTAGCGGCGCAAATCGCGCGATTTTTGGCCGCTAGCGGCGAAAATCGCGCGGTTTTTGGGCGGTAGCGGCGAAAATCGCACGGTTTTCGGCCGCTAGCGGCGAAAATCGCGCTATTTTTGACCCGCCAGCTGCGAAAATCGCACGGTTTTTGGACGGTAGCGGCCAAAATCGCGCGATTTTGGCCGGTAGCGGCGAAATTCCCACGATTTTTGGCCGCTAGCGGCGAAATACGCACGATTTTTGGCCGCTAGCAGCGAAATTCGTACCATTTTTGGCCGCTAGCAGGGAAATTCGCACGATTTTTGGCCGCTAGGGGCGAAAATCGCCGAATTTTTGGCCACTAGCGGCGAAAATAGCCCGATTTTTTGCCGCTGGCGGCGAAAATCGCGCGATTTTGGCCGCTGACGGCCAAAAATCGGGCTATTTTTGCCGATAGCGGCGAAAATTGCGCGGTTTTTGGCCGCTAGCGTCGAAAATAGCGCGGTTTTTGGCCGGTAGCGGCGAAAATCGCGATTTTTGGCCGCTAGCGGCGAAATTCGCACGACTTTTGGCCGCTAGCGGCGAAAATCGCATGGTTTTTGGCCGCTAGCGGCGAAAATAGCCCCTATTTTTGCCACTAGCGGCGAAAATCGGTCGAATTTTGGCAGGTAGCGGCGAAATTCGCCCAATTTTTGCCCGCCAGCTGCAAAAATCACATGGTTTCTGGCCGCTAGCGTCGAAAATAGCGCGGTTTTCGGCCGTTAGCAGCAAAAATCGCCCGATTTTTGGCCGCTAGCGGCGAAAATCGCGCGGTTTTTGGCCGGTATCGGCGAAAATCACGCTATTTTTGCCCGCCAGCTGCAAAAATCGCATAGTTTCTGGCCGCTAATGGTGAAAATCGCGCGATTTTTGGCAGCTAGCGGCGAAATTCGCACGATTTTTGGCCGCTAGCGGCGAAAATCGCCCCATTTTTAGCCGCTAGCGGCGAAAATAGCCCCTTTTTTGACCGCTAGTGGCGAAAATAGGTCGATTTTTGCCAGGTAGCGGCGAAATTCGCGCGGTTTTTGGCCGCCAGCTGCAAAAATCGCATGGTTTCTGGGCGCTAGCGTCGAAAATAGCGCGGTTTTCGGCCGTTAGCGGCAAAAATCGCACGGTTTTTGGCCGCTAGCGGCGAAAATCACGCTATTTTTGGCCGGTAGCGGCGAAAATCGCGATTTTTGGCAGGTAGCGGCGAAATTCGCGCGATTTTTGCCCGCCAGCTGCAAAAATCGCATGGTTTCTGGCCGCTAGCGTCGAAAATAGTGCGGTTAGCGGCAAAAATCGCCCGATTTTTGGCCGCTAGCGGCGAAAATTGCACGGTTTTGGGCCGCTAGCGGCGAAAATCGCGCTATTTTTGCCCGCCAGCTGCAAAAATCGCATAGTTTCTGGCCGCTAGCGGCGAAAATCGCACGATTTTTGGCCGCTAGCGGCGAAATTCGCTTAAAAACAAAATGGATTGAAAAACAATCCATGAGGAGTCGTGTGGAGAGGGGGGGAGGTGAGTGGCGGCGTTGTTTACATCCGGAGGCGATCCTGGCGTCGGTTTCCTGAACCTGGGCTGACGTCATGGACTGCTGCGACGTCATGGGCTGCCGTGACGTCATGGGAGGACGAGGGCGACGATTACAGAAACGAAGAGTACAGATGAATGTTGTAATGTTGAAAATACTCCATCCAGTGAGCAGTACACTTCAAAAGGCGCTGGAGTTGACACTCGGCGGCGATAACAGTAGCTAGGGAGCACCAACGAAAATCTGGGCGAGTAGGCTGCAGCGTCCCTGGACGTTTGAAATTCAAAATGGCTGGGTGATCAAGCAGGTGAAGCTCTTCAAGGTAGCAGACTGCTCTGTGATGCCATTTTTTGCTTCTCCTGTTTCCCCCTGAAAGTAGCACAGAGCTCAGTTTTTTCTTGGCAATATCATTGTAATGGGGATCTCTGGCTATCCTAATTGCAAGCTTAGCATTCAGCTCCTGAATTCTGCTTTTAATACTGGGAAGGGACAACTCCTCTTGTAGATTAGACGTTTTGGCAGTTCTTGGGACTCCAAGAATGATTGTCATGGCTTCATTTTGAATGCTTTCAAGCCTTTTCATATCGCTTTGGGAGTAGGTACACAGTACTGGTGCGGCATAGTCTATGACGGAGCGCACATAGCCTGTGTACATCATTTTGAGCACGGCAATAGAGGCTCCATATCCATTCCAGGTCATAGCTTTCAGTGCCCTGAGTCGACTTTTGCATGTTCCTCACTTGTGTTTTGCATGTTCTCACTTGTGTACTCGCCTATTTGTGCTTGCCGCTCTAATGCTCCAACTCTTTAGTCCCGCCTCTCGACTGTCAATCAACAGGTGTACAGCTTCCAGAGACCACTGGGTTCTTATCATATCTACATTTGAAACAATATATGGAGTCTGCCTCCACCACATCAGTGCCTAATGCATTCCACCTCTTAACTACTCGGGAAGAACTACTTTTTCATTGTCTAATGGAAACAATTCACCGTCTGTGGCTCATTTGGGTATTCAGTCTCCACCTGTGTTCCCTTGTTTGTGTACCACCCTTGTTACAAAGTTTATCTACCCTCTCAATTCCTGAGATTTTTGTAGGTAGCGATCACATCTCTCCTTACTCTTGTCGTCAAGTGCATCTCGAGCAGCCTTTCCTCGTAACTCGTGCCTCTTAATTCTGGCACTAGCCTAGCAGCATACCTATGAAATTTTCCAGCTTTGTCTTGTGCGTGACAAGGTGTGTATTCACCTAGTTGTGCTTGCAGGGATTGAGCTCTGCTCTTTCGGCCCACCAATCGACTGTTGCTATTACAGTACTTTATTTTTTTGTTCTTCTAATTTGATAATGATCAAATTTGTGTGTTCCTTCATTCCATTTCTATCCAGTAGGAACATTGTACCTGTTCTCAACAGTACCTTGTACACTGTCATCAAATCTCCTCTGGTCCTTTCTTCTCGTGTTGTCCTTGGAGTTTTTTTTTTTTTCTGCTTGGTATGAAATAATTCTGTAAAATAACATTTTGCTCAAATGAAACACTGGACATACAGCACTTGCTATGCATTGAATTCTGTTGCAACTGAAATTTACTATTCTAAGCCAAAAATAAATATTTTTACTCATACTCAAGACAAACCACACTTATACATAAATAATTAAATGCCCTTTTTTCCAACTTTGAAATTATTTTATTTCTGATTGTTGCCTCTAGTGAATGCACACACTTGCTCTAAGAGAACTTTTATTTATTGTGCAATTTAATATAATAATTTCAATATGATTAGTTCATTGTAATTGCCAGCTGTTTTACCTCTAACAAACAATATATGGCCAGTGACTTCATATTGTTAGAGCAAAGGTTAAGCATACAAATATAACAATAAAATTTTATTTATCAAAGCAACAACATAAATTATACATTTCTATATAGTAACACTTCACAATTTGTTTATTCAAAACTTTGACATTACTTCTAAATTTATAGACAAAAGAGCTCTTGACAATTACAATAGTATACCATCACTTCCACATTGCAGGCAATCACGATCTCTCAACTCCACACACCTCATTTATACCAGAAAAACACCGTTCAAACAGAAGGAATCAGTAACCCAACCAAAACATGCAGAAACCTCACCCTTCAAAGCATACAGCTTGCCACATTGCCAACCCATGCAGATGAAAGAACATTGAGACAACTTCACGAAAGGGAAGGATCACACGTCGGCCCCATGCATCACCAATAGGGACTCCTCCAAAGCAATCCAAAAAGCCAAGACACAAAGAACAGGACCGCTGCAACACAGAGGTACAATGACAGAGGCAGAAGGACTATCGAGTCACCTGATACTACTGCCAAGATAATAGCTACAAATGCAACAAAAGGACATCTATCACCTGTTTATCATACATGTGATGAGACCATTAAGTCTAGAAACTCCACTTGCAACATTTCTCAAACCAATGAGATATACACTATCACCCCACACATTTGCTGCGATAGACAAAGACAACACAAAGGTCTAGAAACCATTGCTGGATCAACCACCGAGGAGTCAAAAGAACACCCCTGTCAGCATGTTTCCAGCTTGGCCAAGATAAAAACGAGGAGCTGGACTAGATGAAAACAATGAACAAACTTAGACTCCAGTCCAAGCAAAGCATTCGCCTCAAACCCTTTATAATCTGGAAATAGTGCAAAATACACCAAAAGCTTTTAATTCTAACTTGGAGGGCAACGGGTCCATCGGCCAAACGCCTCGTACAAATAACAGAAGGACAAATCATTTACAAACTAATCCATTAAAACTGAATGGAAATGAGACCTTATGCAAGCACATTCAATATGCCGCAAAACTTTCCTCAATGCTACTTTCAGTAAAACTCGACCCCGAGCATAAACTATGCAAGCAACATTCTGGATGATGCACAAATGTTTCAAATACCACTACGTAAATACGAGACCATCGCCACCGGACGGAGCAGAGCTCGGTCGCAACCGAGCCGACACTGGAAGACGAGTGATGTGCCCGATATCCAAGATGGCAGCCCCAGTCACCTAGATTCTCACTCACCCTGCCACCTTACTCATAAGCCACTCGTGTTGAACTCTCAAATCCCTACGAGGAAGAAGACGACAGGGTGGAAGAAGACGGTGAGCTACTGGGGACCGCCAAAAAATGTGAGTTTCATAAATTCACTACTTGACTTCTAGGAGGGACCGTTTAGTAGCTTCCCGAGCTTGCTCACAATGACGCCTTGATTGATGAGGTGTCCCATTGGTACACTAGAAGCTATCTGTGCCAAACACTAAACTGCAACACATGTATAGCAAGATCAAGTGAAACCCCAGATTTGAAATAAATGTGCAGATACACTGTCAACAGCACAGAGAAGACTACAATAGTGGAAAATCAAAGAAGCCACAAATGAATGCACATCAACGAGTGAGGACATCCACACCAAGACCAGGTCCATATTGCCAGCCCCAACACAGGTGAAGCTCATTACCATTATGAAGAGGAGGATAATTTTTAAAAAATGCCACCATCCCAAAGAGGCCAACACACAACAATACCACATGTAGGGACTGAAAACCCAGGACCCATAGCTAGGGAAATTCCACCAGACCACAGGGGCCAGAAAATTGAGACTTGACACAGTACAGAGGCCCGTTCTCCAACAGAAATGAACAGACCACCACCCTCATAACCGAAACCGTTGAACACACTGTACCCTGCCATAAACATGGCACCTGCAACTAGTTTTCCCACAGAATTGACTGTTTTTGTTACATTAGGGCTATTATTTTCCTTCACGCCATCACTGGTTTTGTTGCACAAACCCTTTGTCAAGTGTTTTCTTGATTTTGGGTTGACTTATGATTCACAGGCTACCCTTGCCTTGTAGAGAGAGCAAAAGTCTGGTCCTGCCTCCCAGTACACCAGGGTGGATCTCAGAGGTATGCAATCTACTCAAGGCCAAGAAAAATTGAAAATACAACCAGCAGCAATTACAAGTCTCAAGATTACAAACACCAACATCAACATAATAGCTGCCAGTGACCAGTGTAGTTGAAACACTGGTCAATTGCATATAGGAATTTCTGATTTCTCAAGGTGGAGGAAAGGTATTATCACAATACCATACAAGCAATTATCACCAACATCATAACAATTTATCGCATTGCCTTTTATACTAATATTTATTATATAGATGCCATTATTTTATATAATAACATTTAAGAAAAAATCATGTATATATGACCATTAATAACAAGCATGTACCAAGTGCTATCAAAACTAATATTAGAGTAGGCACTGAGTGCAAGGATAATATGTACATGTATCTACACTGTACTTTAATAATACTGATCCTACTTAAGTGATACACATTTTAAAAAATATATAAAATCTGAATATGATGAAATGCCTATTTTTAAGTGGTCCCTCAGCAGTTCCACAGTGCCAACGACTAGCACCACATCCCCGAATTTCCATGGGCTAACTGGAGACCATGATCACAATTGCTTGTGCTCAAAGAGGCGTGGGGATAAAACATCGACACAAAACTGCCAGAAATTCACAGACGAATGAAAACTAAGAAAGGAAAAGCCTTTGATACTCCACTTTCAAAAAAACACGCATTTAAAAGGAAGATGGACATGGAAGGAAGCAAAGTGCCAACCACAGTGGTTTTCAACCACCATCGTTTTCACCCGGACAGCATTGCACCCAAGGCATTTATTAAAACAAAATGGGAACAACCGAAGAAAAAAAGGTATCTCTAGGAAAAAGGTAAATGCAAACCAGTGCCAAGAAAGAGAATGTGAAACCAAGTTATAGTCAGCTAGGTATCCACAAGGTGGGTGGCATGAAGTATAAATAACAAACAATATAAAAAGCATGGCCCTCCATATTACAATATGCTAAGGAACACCAACACCACTTTTCTTTAAGATGGACTGACCAGTCCTGCAGGAAATGGTATGCTGTGACTCCCACCAAGTATCTGAGCCAAGATTCTTCATCTTTAGATGATTTTGGGCCTTATTGTCCCCGCGGCCCGGTCCTCTACCAGGCCTCCACCCCAGGAAGCAGCCCGTGACAGCTGACTAACACCCAGGTACCTATTTACTGCTAGGTAACAGGGGCATCAGGGTCAAAGAAACTCTGCCCATTATTTCTCGCCGGCGCCCGGGATCGAACACAGGATCACGCGTCCAGTGTTCTGTTCGCTCAGCCACCGTCTCCCAGGATGGTCATGAACCAGGACCACGGGAGGCCTGGGATACCATTTGGTGATAGTCAGGTGAATTACAGCTGGGTTTGTTTACCTGCTGCACCCTATCATTTTCTGGCCCTCTTAAATTTATTTTCTTAAGAGCAGTTGGTCATTTTGATTTGCCTACGATTTTATTGGCAATTTTCTTTGAATCGATATTTGATCCTCAAACCACATTGTGATCCTGGTCTTGTGTAGGACGTACATGTCCAGGGGTCTGGTAGCATGTGGATATCTCGGGGCCTTAAACACCAGGAAACTACTGAGGGTAACAGCTCAGAAAAAAAAAAGGTTAACATACACAAATCCATTGAAATACTGTACTCAGCTTGACGTACTAGAGGCCTGGTTGAGGACCAGGCCGCGGGGACGCTAAGCCCCAAAATCATCGCAAAGTAAGCTTTCACCTATTGTTGTATACTATGGTTAACTAGTTATACTACTCTGTCATAAGCACCGTCACCCTTAAATCATGCTCTTCAAGCTAACAGTAATTGTCTTTGCATACACAATATCTATATTACATATTTTCTGAGGTAAGGCATTTTAGACAAAGTTAGCACAGCAGCATCTCCTTAAGTCTATAAACACAGTGCATTATATGCATAACTATAACACACCATTGTTACACAGATTTATCACAATAATTTGGTAATACACTACATGATTATCATCCTCAACACTTTATATCACATCTTGCTATTATATGTACTGTACCCATTTTACAAAACAAACTAGGTTTCAAAAGCCCTTATTCTTTAATAAAAATAATAATTATTTTTGTCTGGGACAGCAAGCCTGTGAACATAGTGATACTTCAGGACTCGAACGGCCCCGAACTATAAAAGTTCGGCAATTGAACACTTTATTTGAGACAAACAACTCGGTAGTTGACAGTTTGGTGGGCACTCGACTATAGAAACATCTCATAACATACTGCAGCTGAGACATGGTCTTCAGAGGAGGAGGAGGGAAGGGAGGATGTTCTAGCTGTGGCAAACTGTATTATAAACTGGTTAAATGCCAGTGCTGTCTTACTTTAAAAAAAATTTTAAATGAAGGTAAAACAAAACAAAAGGAATATCATCAAACAGGGGACTTCCCTGCCAAACAATAATATTTCTCCTCACCACTTTCCACATAAAGTGAGGAAGGGAAGGAGAGATGTTATTGAACTCTCATACTGAACCATCTACTCTCTTAAGTACAGGTAAAGTGAGAATAAACTTGCATGTATTTCATCTATTTATTGTGTTTTGGGAACTGTAAACTTCAAGTTAAATTCAAGTACAAATGCTTTTATAAGTGTATTTTTTTTTAGGTCTGGAATGCATTAATCCAATTTAATTATTCCTTATGGGAAAAAATTATTCGGTACTTTAACAGATCAGCATTCGAACAGCCTTCTCGAACAAATCAAGTTCGAGTACCCGAGGTATCACTTTACAGTATACACTTTAGGCTTGTATCGAAGTTTCCCCAAGGTTCAACGACCGACCCTTCCCAGGATGCAACCCCACAACAGTTGGCTTATCCCCCCAGGTACCTATTTACTGCTACAGGAATATATTAGGTGAAAGGAAATGTGCCCAACTATTTCTGTCCCGCCCTGAAATTGAACTTAGGATCCCTGATCGAGAGTCAAGAACGAAGCCAATAGTACTATTAGACCCTATAATATATATTTTAAACAGTAAATGTTTATTTATAAGTCAACTCTTCTCACTGTGAGAAATATATATCATGACAAGATACAATACCATATATATGTACATACAGTAATATCATTTTATATTTATTGTTAGAGTTATTTGATATATATGTATATGTATACATGTAATGTTATCACAGCATGTGTTCTGTACTTTATTTTAAATTATAAACATTTAGAAAGAACAACACTGCATATAAAACACTTGGTATATTATATCAATCCTTGCAAGAGATGACTTGACAACAGTTATGCTTTTCAGGTGCCTTTTCAATCAGTTTCATTATCATTTAAATTCACATTAATTCTTTGACATTTGACTTGAACATCAACTGCATTTCAGAAAATATCATCCATTAGCTAACTTATGTAGTCTATTGTTACAGAAAAACATGACTAGTGTAACTGGAAATTCATGACTTTACAAAATCCTGAGCTGAACTCTAGCATCACTTCTCATATTCTTCAGTCTGGCTGAAGTAATGAAGATGTGACAATAGAGATGAACCTGTCCCTCATCTTAAGCTTGAACCATTCATACCACTGAGACACACGCAAGCGACGCAGTGCTTTATACTGTTTACTATATCTGAAAGAAAAAGCAGCAGTAAATCTATAATGCAATATGAACTGCACTATGTTAAATGTTACTTAAACTAAGAATTATGTACCTTATTCTATCAATTTACTCAGCCTATTGTAGCCACTCTCTTTTACAATACAATTCACTTCATGAGACTGTCACACTAGACAGACTCAAGATTTTTATTACTTGCACAGTACACAAAACTCTTGAGTAAAGAGCATTTATACAGCACATGATTTTTATAATGCATGTTTTCAATTCAGCCCGTCCTCCTAAGGTTTCCCCAACTGTAAGAAAATGCTCAAATTAAATTCTCCTCTCCTAACCTACCAGAGGACCCAAAACAGAGAACGAGACAGTACGTCACTTTCGCGAGCGTCTTCCATTTTCTAGTATGACAATTTTTGGCCTTATCTAATGCATACGATCGAAATGCAACAGTATTTGTATGATAGATTGTTCATTTGGTGACCAATCATTAAAATTATGCACATTGTTATTATGATACTTGCACTTATGGTGTGCTCGCACCTTCTGTCTCAGGAAAGTTAACCATGACTAGGTGTGATAACTCTTATCACACCCACCAACTCTCACACACACACACTAACTCCTCCAACCTGGTCTCGCCCACTACGCACCACCCACACGTGCCTACCAACTCTCTCGCCTAATAACATTTGTACAAAACCCTGTGCATCATCTTGGTAAATAACAAATCAGTCAAATGTTTGTAGTGGTCCATGATACCCAATATTACTGTAGTCTTAATTAAACTTACAATATCCTGTCAAGGGTTACACTAATGTGTGTAGAAGAAGAAATAAAATTAGAAGGAGAGAGAAAAAAAGTGGGTTGGGTTATCTAAGTTTTAATGTAAATTGACTTTCTGTCAGCAATATGAGATTGACTGTGTATTACTGTTGCTCAGGTATTGAATGTTGGTCTGCCCCGACTGCACTAGATCATAAACATAGGAAAGCAGGATCTTGATTATGTGAGGAATTGAATTTTGTTTTGGTAAAATGCACACCAAATGTGGATGAACAGTAATTACTTATGAAATACTGTATAATTTACAGAAAACTATACCTGCGCTCTTTTGACAGAATTTTGGGTAGCTGGTCCCAGCTCTTGATCCAGATAACAGGAGGCCCATGTCGTTTAAGAAGCCTCCAAGGGTTGCTGTCACAGTGTCCCTCAGTTGAAACATCTTCAATAATTGGAGTGCTGCCTGCTGACAGTGCTTCATATACTCTGAAAACAAAAAATTGCACAGTACTTATACAGAAAGGAAACACCAGTTAAGTTTTGGACAACTTTTGGTAAATATTTATGCAAAATCAGGCATTGCCAGCTGACATGTTTGATTTGTGTTATAGTATAATTAAATTTCTTGAGAAGTACTGCATGTCTGATTTTTAGAGCTCCATGCTAGCAAACCTCACAGGTAGGAGTGTTTTACAAAAAAAACGTGTGTAAATTATCTTTTCAGTAAAATTAAGTTATATCTTAATAGTAGGGTGTTAATAGACATATATATTAATAAACATAGTGTATATTCACCATGTTTAATAGAACATTAAAAACCAAGTCTTGTGAAGTGATTATTCGAAACTGCTGACAGTGAAGTGGCTAGTTCTGCACGTAGGTAGTGCATACTCACAATGTGATAACGTACCCTCTAAAAGGATATACAGTAAATAAAAAACCTATGAAGGCAAATAAGTAGTCCCAAATACATTGTGACTGGGAACTATGTTGTAAGATCAGTGTTACTGTAAATGTAGAAAACCAATTCAGAACTCAATGAGACAAATTAAGAAATATTAAATATATTAGAAAACCTTAACATATATTTATACCTGTATGTTTCTGCGTTCATTCCAGAAGGACACAGGGTAAGATCTGACTGTAGAAGCGACTTGACGTAATCATCCATAGAATCGATCGTCTCATTGGGCACCCATCTGAATATGAAGGAGGTAGTTTAATATATAATTATTCTTTTAATCATTTACATAAAACTATTGCACCCAAAATCAAGCAAAAGTCCCCCATAAAACCTGATACTAATCATGCTATAAACTATTTACTTTTATAATCTATTCAAAATTGACCACAACTGTCACAATGGGATTAAATTACTACCCAGCTACATATAATACTGCAAGGTCGCAGGATGCACACTTTATAAGCCAAACCTCATGAAACTGATGCTATGGAGAGGGGATGTGAGCAAATAATAGAAATACAGCTAGATACATATCTCAGGTTGGAACAGGAAAGTAAACTGATAAAGAGGGTGTAATGGTTACAGGGAGCAGTAATAGGTATATGGAGTATAATGAATATTGGGGATATAATGGATTACTGAAAATATCTCATATTTTAAAAGCAAACTCAATCCATAACAAAAGCCTATATTATTAGAACACAATAGACACAACAAATGTAGGATGTTAGCATATTCAGCTCACCTAGCGATTACACTGCAAAGGTAATCAAATACAATTTTTGCAACTCTTAACACTTTGCTATTCTATACATGTATTTAAAAAGTCATTTATTTTTAGCATCAAAGCAAATAGGTTTCATTAAATCCAAACACAAATCAGCATATCTTGTATCAATACTGAAATAACTGAGGTCCTTTTCTACTGTGACTCAACAGGTGACCGAATTATAGCACCGAGGCTGTCAAGCCTTAAGGAATCCTAGTAGGGTTCTCACACCCACCCATGTCTAACGGCAGCCACAACTACAATTTGCCCCTCTCTACAAAGCCAACAGAGACAGGGGGGATCAGAGATCAACCCAAAACCAAGAAGAAAAATATATACAGTATAGCCACATCAAAAAAGCAAATGCTTCAAGGAAATTACTACAATAGCAGTCCTGAGGAAAACAAAGCAAATACAGTAATTGTTGCCAGCAAGATTAATATACAGTAATTACAATACCCCCCTCCCCCTGCTAGTATGCCTCCTTTGTATCTTATCTTGCCAAATGCACTGCTGTGCCTCTATCATCCAACAGTTTACACCTCACTAAACCCCATCAACAGTAGTCACAAACAAGGAGTGAAAAGCAACAACTCCTGCCCTACATAAATTCACTCCATCCTTTGCATATTTGTCATTGTCCATAGAAGTGGTCCCAGTTGTCAATGAATGAGGTGGGTGGCTGGCAGGAACCCCAGCTGACCTGGGCTGCCATCTGGTAACATCAGGCACATCACAGCCGGGTTGTTTACCTTGAGGCAATGATTGTTCATATTGTTTTCTTCCAGGTTACTAATTTATTTCAAGCAATTGCTTGTCTAGATGCACTTATACAGTTTATATGCATTTTTTTCACATTTAGGTACATCTCTGATCACCAAGCTACCCCTCACCTCTCACAGTGTGCCACATTCTGGTCCCAATTCTCAGTAGGCTTTTGGGGAGGGGGGGGGGGGGGTTGCCAAGGCTAGTGCAAATCCCTAAGGCTTGGTGGAGTCAATGTTATAGTTCAGGGAGATACAAAAAAAGGATTTCACAGAAATAATTTTCATTACCTCAAAAACCAACAAAACTCTCTTTACCAGAACTGTTTCTCTATTCCATCCATAACTGTTCATAATATTTCAACCAACCTATATATACACAAATACCATCTTATACAATTCCTTTCATTCTTCAAGCTCACATTATGACACTTTAGAAAATAACTTTTAATTACATTAATAAAAATTCATTACAAGATACTTTTATTTTCACTTCCAAATCATTAATGTATTTATGTATCATTTGACTTACCTATCCCTTATGCTGATAAGACAATGACTAGATGTAAAGGGATCATTTTTCATAAAATTATGCAGCTCAATTCTGCTTGAATTTGCATGCAGGGTTACTCTAAGGTTGCAGACAAACTTCCTAGGACTCTCTGGAGAAATTTGATCATCACCAATAACTGGAAACTGCCTATATCTGCAAGCAAAAGAAAACAATTAGGAATGAGATGCTTTTGCAGGCGATGAGTCACAATAACGTGGCTGAAGTATGTTGACCAGACCACACACTAGAAGGTGACGGGACGACGACGTTTCGGTCCGTCCTGGACCATTGTCAAGTCGACAATCGACTTGAGAATGGTCCAGGACGGATTGTGGTCCTTTTTTCGTCTTGTAATGCAAAGTACCGTAATCAAGTTGCCACAAGACATTGGTGAGAACAGGTAAATGCTAGTTTTTTTATAGACATATATAAGACAATATTCTTATTATTATTACTGAACAATATTGTCAAATTGTATTCATCTTTTATCTGCATGACTAAGACAAACTAAGAGGGGTCTTGACAGTCACCTTACTAGTTGTCTATCACAACAGTTACCTAACTGAATTGGTCACAAATTGGTTACTTGGATGGATGTCACAAAATGGTTACTTACGACATCCATCTATCAAAATAGTTACACCCAGGTGTCTCTCTTAAGCTTTTTATCACAGTGTAGACAATTCACAATACAATAAGAATTGAAGAGAATAACAAATAAAAGGCTATATTGTGTTAAGACGGTACATAAGAGAGAGACTTACGTGGCTACACCAAGAGGCCACTGATGGAAGGTGACTTGATCTACCCGAGGGTCGTCGTAGGTCAACACCACAGCTACCACAGGACCTTTAGGAACTAAGTAATTGTCTATCCACATATTTTCACATTTCTAAAGAGGATAAAAAATACAGAACTGAATTAAAAATCTTTAAAAACAAACTTTACATAAAATTTTTTATACCTTGAAACAATCAATTTAAAATATCATTTTAATTAATCATCGACCTTTAATTCAAGCAATACATTTTAGCTAATGTACCACCTCCCTGTTGGCCAAATGCTCAGGAAAGCTTCCATGCACTGGCTCAGTTTCTCTATGCTGGTTCAAGAGAGGATAGTGTGAGAAGCAGACAGTGCTTACCCAGCTTGCCTGTCAAGTGTAGCACACAACATTGGTGACTCTGGCACACCTGAGCCCAATTCTACCACAGAGGGAGGGAGGGCCATGCAGTGTTACTTTTATGTGGTGCCTCAACTTAGCCACTCTTTCTTAACGTCTCTACATTTATCTTAAACAATCATAAAACCTTGTATCAATGTCAGTTCAAAATGCAAGTAATCTCCCAATAAAAACCATCTATAAGTGTCAAAGTGAGTAGAATACAGTATGTATTATATTATACTATTGTATGTATGTATTGTATTACTGTACAGTGAGTATGGTAATACAATTTAATAATACTGTACCTGAAAGCTTATTAAGAAGATTAAGGGCAGCATCCCTAGTAATTCTAAAAACTCAGTGTACAAAATAAGATGACTGTGTTTGATACTTTGAATCTGAATAAGGATAAGGTAGAATAAATAAATGAATAAAGACTACCCAAGGAAACCAAACTGCAAACCTAGAGCAAGAGAGTACCCCTAGAACACTGAAACACAAAGAAATGGAAAAACATGAACTGAATGAGAAGTCCCTGAAGCTTGGAAAAGACAATGTAAAGCACAAATACAATAGAGAAGAACCCAGACTCAAGAACAGTGTGCCTTGATAAATGCAAATGGATTTATCAAGGCACTGATAAATAAAATGTACCACAGGCTAGTAAATATAAAAAACAAAAACAGCTCAACACAACTCGTAATTTTAAAAGCATGGTTACTGTAGACGTATCACTTTGTTTGAAGGTTTTTATAATCCACCTCATAATTTGTTGGCTGATGCACAATTTGCTATTTTTTATGCTCTTCCAACATCATTAATCCCAGATTTCCACATTTCTCACAGATTGTGGGGAAATGGCAACTCTTCATATGGCTCCAATCACATTTTTAATGATTTTAGCAGACGGACACAATATCAGAAGAAAGAGTTGGGGCTTCAAAAAAGCCACTGGCATTTTAAAAACCAAATTCTATGGTTTGCTTTCATTTTCAGTTGCCAGACTTTGCTCAATTAAATAAAGATCCTTCTTTCTTTAAAAAATGAGATTTCGAGGCTGGGGCATGGGTACATACAAGACGTGGTGAAATCTCTTTACAGACAAGTTCTCCTGGTATCTGGCCATCATATAATAGGTTGAAACTAAAATTTCTCTATAATTAAATTATTTCATATTGTTGGAAATGTTAGGATATGAATGGTAACACTCTTAATGCGGCTCCAATCTCATAATATGGCTCCATCATGTTCTTAACGATTTTTGTTGATGGCCACAACATTAGAAGAAAGAAACATGTCAAGCAATGTATAAAAAACAATGTTGTATCTCACAAATGCCTCCAGAAGGCATTTCTGGTTGCAACGAATCAGGATTGGTCTAAAAAAATTTGCCAAATTCAGATTGCACTGTAATGCAAGTAACATTCCAAGTGGCTCCCATTTCTTTCCCCATCAGAGGAGTCTTACCTCATTGCCCAGCATCACCAATATAGTCACAGGAGGAGTTTCCCAGGCCTGGATGTGATCCAACCACTGACGTGCATCTTTCACTTTGTCATCAGTGCGGCCATTTATGACCAAAACCACATTCTTCACATCATGAGGCACAGTGTCTGGAATGACTCCAGGTCCTGAAAAGTAAAGTATAATTTTCCAAAAGCTGCAAAGGATGACAACCCATAAACAGCACTAGAAATATAAATAAGAATGCAATATAGTATAACTAATTTACAATCAACTGTTCTTGCAGAATACAATTTTATTTCCATTCTACAAATTGTAAAAGAACATTTTTTACAGACTGGAGTGATGAAATTGTTGTTGTATGCATGATCATTTTTAACATTTAAAGAAGCAAATAAGACGAGACTGACATTGCAAGGTTTAGTTTTACACAATCATCCTCCCTGGACCTGTGTGGGTGGCTAAATGGTCAATAAGATCATCCCTGGCCTCGAACACTTTTTCCTGCGAGTCAGCCCTCTGTTTTTGTTACCATGTTTGTCCATTTCTTTCAGAAAAGCCAGTTTCATCTCCCAAGCTAAAGTGGGAGTATGTACAGGGGAGCTACTGAGGAGCCAGCCCAGACACCATGTGTTGAGTGTAATACAACACCCATCTCTGGCCAGTCTCAGACGCTCCACATGCCTGCTTTTCCTTTAATGTGGCAGTTTAGTACATCTCTGAGGGTGGCACTAAGTGAGGGTGCAAGCTGGCTCAAGTCTCAGGTGGCCTAAGCTGTTCCCTGGTGATACACTTGGGTACTAACACATTGATTGTTGATTTCGGCCAACCAACTGCTTGCCTGATTTTAATCTTTTCTCTAATCAAGATACAGTTTGTTTTACTTCTGTACTTTATGACCAGTTTTATGTCAATTTTAAATCCCCAAGCTGCCCTGTCCTCTATGAGCACGTCAGATTCTGGTTGTGGTGTTTTGCAATGCTGCACAAGTCCAGAGGCCTGATAACACTGAGTGTATTGTTGTGATATCAGAGCCCATGCACCGGTGCCTGGTGCATGTGCTTTTCTAGGAACCAGCCTAGAAAACCATACCATCGTTTGTGTACCCAAGAAATTGTGTAACTTGCACTGAATGCATCATATAATGTGCCCTGTAACTTTAGCATAAATATTATACTGATATATCTAATTGTAAAAAAGCTGTTGAAAATGAGAGAGAAATCCATACACCACTAGTACATTCATTTTACCTGATCTATATCTGAGAACAAATGCAGGCATCCTTAACTCCCCAATGGTAGCTCCTGGCACAGTCTCATCCAAGCTCTCTCGACCCTCCAAAATGTGCTGCCACAGGTATGTACCCACAGCCGCTTTGCTCCACACCTCCACCACCGGCAAGTTTATAAGGGCAGACTGTAAAAAGAAAAAAAATAAATGCTGTATATTACGCATTGATTGAATCTTGCTGAATTTAGGGATGCCAAATTCCTAACTAGTTTAACCACAGGATTTCATCTAGAATTTACGTACATATAGTATTCTCATAAAATCACTATTTATTTTTGGGAATGAATGACATTGATAAAATTAGGTTAAAATTTTGCAAATAAAATTACATTAAAAACAATCCATCCATTAACTTCAAAAAGGAGAAACAGCTGGAAAAATGACAAGATGAATGTCTCCCAGCAGAGATGATCATGAAATGCATTATTTTCAACATGTGGGACAAAGGTCTAAATGTGAGTGTCTATATAGATGTCTCAACTGTCTTATGTTTAGAATTTATATAATAGATAATTGTACTGTTATATAAACTAATTATGCATCTAATGGTCAACATTCAACGATAAAGGATAAAATTATTCGACAGGGAAGATATTCAAGGTCTTCAAAACTCAACCACAATGTTTCAAGCAAATTGTTTGTTCAAAGTTCCTTTTGGCTGACCTGATTTCCTGAATTTCTGCATTTAGTGCCTTTTTTGTATATCTCATACTCTATGTGAGTCTTGGAGGATTGATATTTCTTCTTAAAGTTGAGCTTGTATTTTTAAATTTAAATTTCCCCTCTCCTCCTTGGCATGTATTTTTATACAAGCTCACTGATGACCATTGGGTCATTTAATGCCAAATCATCACAGCTGCCAACACGACCATCTCGGATCTACATGAAATTTGGCAGGATGTTACAGTACGTTGAACCCCTGTTCAGTGAAGTTTAGTGAGCCCCTGAACTCACAAGTTTGAACTTCAGTGTGAAGAACCCCTGACTTTGAAGTAGCCATAGACAGCATGCCCATGCACTCTGCACCAGGCCCAGACGCCTGGAATTTTGCATTCATCAAGAATTGCAAAGAACCACTATCACAGGCCCTGCAAAAAAATTGCAGACAGAGCCTAGATACAGGTGTTATCCCTGACATACTTAAAACAGCAAAAATCATGCCACTTCACAAATGAGGCAGTTAAGCCGATGAAAAAATTATAGACCAAGCGCTCTAATGTCATATACAGTACCATAAAAAACTTTTAAAGTGATACTCAAAACACTTTATACTTTAACTTACTTTATACTCAGTAATACATGATATTCATATAGCAGGGTTGCCATTGTGAAAAATTACAACTTTTTACTTACAAGCACAACAACAAAAATTCATAACTTTCCTTCTGATTGAGGTAGAACCTTCATGTTTTTTTTTAAGCTAATAAAATACTGTTTTCATTAATAATACTTCTACATACATACATATACATATAATTAGGTACTGTACTGCATATAAAGTACTGTATAATAGTATCCCAAAATATAAAAGCGTTCCCAAGAATAAATGACTGCATAAAATATTGTTAAGATATAATAGCAAATTTAATTTTTAGTACATGATTTTCAACTTACAGCTTTTCTGACATGTGCGTCATCCCATTTCACATCCATCCCTTGGACTACATGAGGTTTCATTTCCTGTTGTGCCAAAACAATGGCAGCTTGATTTTCTCCAATATCAAAATCTGAAATTGAACAATTTGTTAACAGTTTTACTAAAAGAAAAAATACTAAGCCTAAGCCAGACCAGGAGGCCTGGTCGACGACCGGGCCGCTAAGCCCCGGAAGCACCTCAAGGTAACCCCAATTACTGTACAGCACCAAACAAAATATTTATTACCAGGGCCTCACATGAAGCTCATAATATTACATTAATATTACTGTGCAATACGGTTTTCTATTTTCCTTAGAACATGGTTCTTACCGAGGGTCTTTTTGTCTTCACCTTCAAGGTTGTCTCCAATTTTTCTTTTATTTTCCAGTTGTGGAAAACTTTTAATATTTTTAACTGTGGAATATGCAGAATTGAATATGCAGAGGGCCAGGTAGCCAGTAATAACAACTTGGATAAGACACACGCCCAACAGGATCCTCCGTAGGATGATCCCTGGTCCTTTATACATCTGCTGAAGATACAAATATAAAAATGTCTTTATTACTTAAACAGTTTCCAGCTTTCCTACTTAACAGGGTTTACACCATATGTAAATAACTTCATCGAACTTTAAAATAAAACAAATTAAATCCGAAACATAATATTTTGCGTACATAAAACAAATGCAGTGCAGTATATGAATCATATGTACTGCCATCAAGAGTGACGCAATATGTACCTTGATATGACAACAATTGCAAAGCACGTACTTTTACACTCAACAAAGTATAGTATTAAAGCATTTCGTACCCTGTGAGTCTCCCGCAAGGATTTCTCTTGTACTTCCTTCGTGAAATACTGTAAATATACAATAATCCTTTCAAATTTACATACATGAAGCACTTCAGTACTGAATGAAATCCTTCTTCCTTTACATCTACAGTATACAGATTTCTCTGTAATATAGTATTTATATTCTTCAAGCAACAGGAAGGAACAGATTACTTTACTGTACTACATGAAATATCTTTCTTCAAAAATTATCAATGAACAAAGCACAGATCTATACAGTAATGGTACTAATTACTGTATAGTAATGGTACTACTAGTATTTAATATCTGAACCTATTGAAGAGCTGCCTTCTATTCTTACATGTGTATCAACATACATATAGAGCGCCGGTGGCCGAGTGGCCAGCATGCTTGACACGTAGTCATGTGGACCGGGGTCGATTCCCGGGGCCCGGCAGAAACAAATGGGCAGTTTCTTTCACCCTGATGCTCCTGTTCACCTAGCAGTAAATAAGTTCTGGGAGTTAGGCAGCTGCTACAGGCTGCTTCCTGGGGATGTGTAACACAAAAAGAGGTCTGGTCGAGGAGCGGGCCGCGGGGACGTTAAAACCCCCGAAATCATCTCAAGATAACCTCAAGATAGGAGAAGATAACCCAACCGAGCCTAACATAGCCTAACCTAAACTAAAACATCATAACCTAACTATATATGGTTTAGAGCATAAGACCATAAGAACAAAGGCAACTGCAGAAGGCCTATTGGCCCATACGAGGCAGCTCCTATCTATAACCCCCCAATGCCACTCAATAACAATTTGACAAAACAATTCATAACTATATATGGTTTTGACAATCAGAAAACGACGTTTCTTGACTGTTGTGTACAACTTGACCTTACCCTACTGTTCATAACAGACATAGAGGAAAATGGCATATACCCCACTAAATAAATAAATAAATAAATGTTTATTTAGGTAAGGTACATACAAGAAATTTTTACAAAGATTGGTTGACTTATAGGTAGAGCTAGTACATACAATGCCTAAAGCCACTATTACGCAAAGCGTTTCGGGCATGAAAAACTTAAATGACAAGCTTAATACTAATTGAGCATAAAGAGTGGAATGAAAACAAGAAATGAAAACATAGCTGAAAAAGCAGCACAAATACAATTATGTCGACAAACAGCGCTCTTTAAAAAAAAACAGACATTGGTTGACAATAGAAGGGTAAGATAGGTTACAGGGAATTTATTACGTACAGCTTTGTTTTTATCTTAAACTATTGAAAACTTAAACTTTTAAACATAAACTATATATATATAACACTATTGTTATATATATACAGTACAGGTCTTGTGGGACGTTGTGCTACTTGTATATTGGTCAGCACACTTGGCTCAGAATCAATTGTGCCCGGACTCCTATTCCCAAGCTAGACAAGATAATTGGTCAAGTTTCCTTACACCTAATGCAACTTTTCACCTAAAAAATAAAATCTGGCACCTAGGAGTTAGGTCCTCTCAATAAACCCTACCCGAGGTCTTGTCGCCAATAATGACACACTACATTCTAACCTAATCTACAATATTAGATACAATGTTTGCCAATGGATTTTAAAACCTAAGCTAACCTATCCTTGCCCGAAACGCTATGCGTATTAGCGGTTTTAGGTATTATATGTACTAGCTCTATATATAAATCCATCATTATGTTTGTAACTCAATCTTCTATGTATGTACTGTTACTTTAATAAGAAAATTTTATTAAAAAATTAATAACTTAAAATGTTTATTCAGGTAAGGTACATACATACAAGAGATTTTCCAAAATTTGATGGATTTATAGATAAGAGCTAGTACATACAATGCCTAAAGCCACTATTACGCAAAGCGTTTCGGGCAGGAAAGTAATTTAGTTTTTAGTAATTAATTTAACTTAATTTATCCAGATACAACCTAGACTGTGCCCTAACCTAACATGACTTACACATTAGCAAACATGGCCAAGCTGAGTGTAAAACACACACAAAATGTAGAAAGGCATGAACTACAAGGCCTAGAGCGAGGTGCAACTCCTTCAAGTCTGTGTCTGTGTCTGTGCCAAGGTGCCCACCACACACCTCACACACCTGTACCATAAAGATATTACTCTAGTGTAAATCTAGAGGCTAACCATAGCCCGTGCTTCTTGCCCCGCTCCTGTGCCAGGTAAGTCAGGGGCTCACCATAGCCCGTGCTACTTGGAACTTGTTCCGAGTAGCTGAATCTATCCTGCAGAGAATTAAACATAATGAGAAAGTTAAGGGACTATGAGAGGAGAAGGTGAGTTATAAGGGTCACTAGTGTGGCGGGGCAGTGGACCCCCTGACCCCCACCACACACAGGTGTGGGCACCAGGTGTGGTACACTGTTACACATGTGGTAGACACGTGTTATAACTCACGAGGTGTGTAGTAGTGGTGGTGGGGGAGGCCGAGGGCCGCCTCTCAGCCATACTGCCATAGAGGCTCACCACACCTGCTGTCCAACACATGCGCACTCCTCCACACCTCCCCTTACACACCCACCACAATACCAATAACAAATTATTCATAATTTAATTGGCTGGTATATTAGCCCTCTCTATATACTGATCCAATCGTCGCTAATTTAATAGGTAATATTAACTAGTAGAATGTTCTATTAATATTTTTAATTGTTGGGTTGTGAGAGTCCATTGTGTCGCCCTTTCCTCCACCTCCCACGACACGGGTATGGGCCGCTAAGTAATGAACATTCAAATATATGAACTCCACTATAATTTTATATTATATTATATATATATGTATATACATATATATATATACATATATATATATATATATATATATATATATATATATAATATATATATACATATATATATATATATATATATATATATATATATATGTCGTACCTAATAGCCAGAACGCACTTCTCAGCCTACTATTCAAGGCCCGATTTGCCTAATAAGCCAAGTTTTCATGAATTAATGTTTTTTCGTCTACCTAACCTACCTAACCTAACCTAACCTAGCTTTTTTTGGCTACCTAACCTAACCTTACCTATAAATATAGGTTAGGTTAGGTTAGGTAGGGTTGGTTAGGTTCGGTCATATATCTACGTTAATTTTAACTCCAATAAAAAAAATTGACCTCATACATAGAGAAAAGGGTTGCTTTATCATTTCATAAGAAAACAATTATAGTAATATATTAATTCAGGAAAACTTGGCTTATTAGGCAAATCGGGCCTTGAATAGTAGGCTGAAAAGTGAGTTCTGGCTACTAGGTACGACATATATATATATATATATATATATATATATATATATATATATATATATATATATATATATATATATATATATATATATATAGAGAGAGATAGAGAGAGAGAGAGAGAGAGAGAGAGAGAGAGAGAGAGAGAGAGAGAGAGAGAGAGAGAGAGAGAGAGAGACAGAGAGAGAGAGAGACAGAGAGACAGAGAGAGAGAGAGAGACAGAGAGAGATAGATATAGATAGATAGATAGTCTCCGTGGTGTAGTGGTAAGACACTCGCCTGGCGTTCCGCGAGCGCTATGTCATGGGTTCGTATCCTGGCCGGGGAGGATTTACTGGGCGCAATTCCTTAACTGTAGCCTCTGTTTAACGCAACAGTAAAATGTGTACTTGGATGAAAAAACGATTCTTCGCGGCAGGGGATCGTATTCCAGGGACCTGCCCGAAACGCTACGCGTACTAGTGGCTGTACATGAATGTATGTATGTATAGATAGATACAGAGAAAAAAATATCTCCAGTATCAGCTAATGATACTGGTAATGGCTCAAAGGGGCCACCACTTCATGGTGGCCCCTATCTATCCATTCTATCATGGATGAAAAATTTTCTGACTGATAGAAAAATGAGGGCAGTAATCAGAGGCAATGTATCAGAATGGAGAAATGTCACAAGTGGAGTACCACAGGGTTCAGTTCTTGCACCAGTGATGTTTATTGTGTACATAAATGATCTACCAGTTGGTATACAGAATTATATGAACATGTTTGCTGATGATGCTAAGATAATAGGAAGGATAAGAAATTTAGATGACTGTCATGCCCTTCAAGAAGACCTGGACAAAATAAGTATATGGAGCACCACTTGGCAAATGGAATTTAATGTTAATAAATGTCATGTTATGGAATGTGGAATAGGAGAACATAGACCCCACACAACCTATATATTATGTGAGAAATCTTTAAAGAATTCTGATAAAGAAAGAGATCTAGGAGTGGTTCTAGATAGAAAACTATCACCTGAGGACCACATAAAGAATATTGTGCAAGGAGCCTATGCTATGCTTTCTAACTTCAGAATTGCATTTAAATACATGGATGGCGATATACTAAAGAAATTGTTCATGACTTTTGTTAGGCCAAAGCTAGAATATGCAGCTGTTGTGTGGTGCCCATATCTTAAGAAGCACATCAACAAACTGGAAAAGGTGCAAAGACATGCTACTAAGTGGCTCCCAGAACTGAAGGGCAAGAGCTACGAGGAGAGGTTAGAAGCATTAAATATGCCAAAACTAGAAGACAGAAGAAAAAGAGGTGATATGATCACTACATACAAAATAGTTACAGGAATTGATAAAATCGACAGGGAAGACTTCCTGAGACCTGGAATTTCAAGAACAAGAGGTCATAGATTTAAACTAGCTAAACACAGATGCCGAAGAAATATAAGAAAATTCACCTTCGCAAATAGAGTGGTAGACGGTTGGAACAAGTTAAGTGAGAAGGTGGTGGAGGCCAAGACCGTCAGTAGTTTCAAAGCGTTATATGACAAAGAGTGCTGGGAAGACGGGACACCACGAGCGTAGCTCTCATCCTGTAACTACACTTAGGTAATTACTTACGGGCTATTCCAACCCGTTCTCGCAAATTTAATAAGTCAATATTAACTTATTAAATATGTGCATAGGTGACATACTTAACATAATAGTTTCCCTTGAAAAGCTTCATAGAAAACACCGACCTTACCTAACCTACTTAGTATGTTAAGATAAGCATCTTATTGCTTCATAATTACAATTATTACCTAACCTATACCTATAATAGGTTAAGTAACAATTGTAATTACGAAGCTATAAGATGCTTATTTTAACATACTAAGTAGGTTAGGTAAGGTCGGTGTTTTCTATGAAGCTTTTCAAGGGAAACTATTATGTTTAGTATGTCACCTATGCACGCAACTAGTAAGTCAATATTGACTTATTAAATTTGCGAGAACGGGTTGGGCTATTCATGCCCGTGCCACCTTTTGGGTGGCTTAATCTTCATCAATCAATCAAGGATTCGAACCTAGACAGCCAGGAGCACTATGCACCTTGGCCTACCTGGTATTTTAAACCAGAGCTTTATGCCCTTTAAAGGCCAGTAATTGTTGGATTAATCTTGTTTTTTTTTAAGTAGTGTTAATAACATTAAGGATACCGAGGTCTAGCTTAATTTCAGGTTTGTTACATGCACCTTTAGCTGCCTTGTCTCCTACTGTAGTACAGTCTGCTTCATTATCAACTCAGAGATCCTGGGTTTGATACCCAGGTGAGACAGAAATGGTTAGGCACTTTCCCTTTCACCTAGTACTTCTCCCATTTGCACCTGGATGTATTACTTTTTAATACCTTACTTTTTTTCAGGGATATTCCTGCACAGGCGCACTAAGTGTTACTTGTTTCTGTTTTACTTAGGTGGAGTATGAGTATTTATGACTCGTATGGTCGCTTCAATAAGATTTTGTCATGTGTGTTTAACAACTTCTTCTGCTCTGATGAATCTAAGTTGAAATCTTAATGGGTTTGTAACTGTGCACTGTGTTAGATAACATTCCAGTGGTCTGTCGGGCATTTCTCCACAGTGCTGACATTTCCTCTCATCTTCTGGAACCTCTAAGCATATTTTCCATGCACATGGGTATCCAAACCTGATGTGATGTAAGAGTAAAGAGCTGACTTTGAATCACATATAATTACTCATATATTTTAGTGTATTAGTGGCTATTTCTAATGCAGCTGCGTATGTATGGAGCTAAGCTAATTGTTTAGTTTGAGCTTATTCTAGTAGTCTGTGCACATCTGCTATAAAATAAAGGCGATTTTAACAAGATAATTTCAGGAAAACATTGCAGTAGTTTTCAAAAAGCACATAAAGACTTTAAAGACGTTTATGCACATAAAGACTTTTGGATTTACACTAATTGAATGAGACAGATTACCAAGCAATGATAAATTAAGCAAGTACACTACAATGAAATCACAAAAATATGATGTATATTGAGGCCATATGATGCAGTTGAACCTGCAACTCCCCAGGTACACACACATTACCAACTCCATGTTCAATCCTATTGTACTGCTTCGACATGTTTTCAAAACGGATATAAGAAATGTAGAACATATAAGATAAGGAAAAATGAATGACAAATTTAGCAGGTTACTAAATCTAGTAAACATACTGTATGACACATTGCCTGTATACTGAGGGAAAGTTATTGGTGTGCCTAAGTACTGTATATATCTTTGTTAGTACAGTATGTCTTACCATTGTGAAATGTCTCATTTATGTGAAGTATACAAATATATTTGTATATAGATTTGTGATGGTGGTATTGTTTTGTGGCAAACAGTATGTGGAGTTGGTAATGGTACAGTATATGGCATTGGTGCTATGGTACTGTTGGTATACAAAATTTTATAAGAACATTTTTAAGTATTTGATGATAAAAAAACATTAGGAGAGTTAAACAATTTTAAAGCAGAAGCTTTAATGTTATAAACAATCTTGCAAAACATCTAACACATTCAGTATTTGATACTGTAACAGTGGAACCTTGTTAAATCATTCTAATATATGACTACTCATCAGACATGGCGTTAAAACTAAAGTTTTTGGAAATATTTCTATAATTGAGCAACAACTGAACACATGGCTTCTACAGGCACTGTCATACAAGTCAGGGAAATGTATACAACTTTCTTTCCATATATACAACAAAAAAATATTCTTAAATGAAATCTGCATCTCAAATGAACAGTGATACAGTACAGTTCTCAATGATTATTTTATTCTCCAAATTTCTAGTATCAATGTCAGATACTGGACTAATATCAATGTCAGATACTGGAATCAAGAGCAAATTTAGTAGTACAGAATTTCATAAAAGAATACTTGAAAGACACTTGCTGTTGTGTTGTGCTCAAAGTAAAGAGATGATGCAATTAGATCACAATTGTCTATACAGTATTTCCACAAAGGGTATCAGAGCACTTCGAGTACATTTTGTGGCAAAGTACTGCTTCCATGTCTAAGAATTAAGTAATTTACAATAGTTTATATTAATTTTATACACAATATGAATAAAAAAGTATAAAATGTGGTTAAACAAGGGATTAAAGACAATCACTTTCTTGTTATAAGTATATATAATTAGTTTGATTGAACTGTATTTCTATATCTTCATGAATTAATAACAATTACTGTATATCTTTGGTACTTATGACTGAAAAATAATTTAAATAAATCTTTGTTGAAATTGACTGAACAATTATTTTCATTAAATAACCAAATATAAAAATATTTTGCATACAAACTTAGCACAATGGTTAAGAATAATAACAACCTGCATATACTATACTGTAATAGCATTTAGCCAACTGACTTAAGTATTGTACAGCACATATTTTAAACTCCAATTAGCCTTCAATGAACTGAAAAAAATTGATACATACTATATTTTAAATACATTTTTGTATCAATTCTGACCAATTGAGCTGTAAGTCAGTCATGTGATACTGATGTTTTGGTGTAGGTTGTATGAAGCAAGTACTTTCATGAAAATGTTGTAATGTAATGTAATGTAATGTAATGTATGCATGTATGTATGGAGCCTGGATTCTGATTCTGGAGCCTATTGAGTTCTATCAAATCTACATTTTAATGTATTCAATTGAATTGAAAGTACATAAATCTACATGTATGTATGTATGTATGTTTGACATTCATAAATTACAAAATTGTCACAAGCAGGAGTGAAGCTCGAGTCAAATTGACTCAAAATTCTTGAGCTACCAGATTCATGTCACATTTTCATTGTCAATATACCTCATTGTGCTGACCATAAATAACACAAACAGCCTTAGGTAATATTGCAGTTGTTGTTTTTTAACTGTCAGCAGAACTATTCACATACCCTGCATTACTGTGTAACAATATGAACAAATCATAGAATTTAGAGATAGAATTATCACAAGTTTTCAAGAAATGTTTAAGTATTTAATTCAAAATAATATACACATTACACTAACAAAATCTTAAACAAATATCTCAGATTTGCTTACTGTACGTAAGCATGCACGTAATTGTAAACTCTCCACTGCCGCCCACTGGGTGGGTGCGGGGTGCATGACACACACAAATTTGTGTGAAACTTGTGTGAAACCGGGGGAGTCGGTCGGCACACTGGACTTGTGATCCTGTGGTCCCGGGTTCGATCCCGAGCGCCGCCGAGAAACAATGGGCAGAGTTTCTTTCACCCTATGCCCCTGTTACCTAGCAGTAAAATAGGTACCTGGGTGTTAGTCAGCTGTCACGGGTTGCTACCTGGGGGTGGAGGCCTGGTCGAGGACCGGGCCGCTGGGACACTAAAGCCCCGAAATCATCTCAAGATAACCTTAAGATATAACTAGCTCATTGCAAATGTAAATTGCTAAGATTAGACTGTTTAGTCCAGTTGTTGAACTCACTGTTGATATATACAATAAACTTTGTAACCTTTTACACCATCACCCAAAGGATTGGTACTGGGGGTGCATAATAAATTAATTAAACTCTTGTTTAACCATTTCATTTTTTTTACAAAATAAATAATACTCATTCCTTGTATCCTAAATCACTGATGACAATATGATAATTAGAACATCACTGAAAAATATTGCACATCTTGCACATCTTAGATAAGAATTTATTGTTAAAGTACTGTACAACAATTGCATAAGACTACGACATATTTTACATAAACATTCATTGTTAACAAAAAGCATCTATGTGTGATTGGGTGATATCAGAACTATATGTACTACTACTGCTCTTTCATACACAATATAACCTAATATATAATAGTCTACCATCAAAATCATTTCTAAATGACACTTTGCACACAGTCAATCTAATCCACACACACACACACACACATACATACATACATACATGTAGGCAGACAACAGTGTAAAGAGAAACCAAGTTGAAAGTAGATTGTTGCTAATGATGTTTACGTTGCCTCTAAACAGCAGTCTCCGTGGAGTAGTGGTAAGACGCTCGTCTGACGTTCCGTGAGCACTTTGTCCTTGGTTTGTATCATGGCCGGGGAGGATTTACTGGATGCAAATCCTTAACTGTAGCCACTGTTTAATCCAACACTAAAATGGGTACCTGGTTGTTAAATGATTCTTCCTGGGGGTCGTATTCCAGGGAACATAGGATTAAGGACTTACCCGAAATGCTATGCGTACCACTGGCTGTACAATAATGTAACAACTCTTGTATATATCAAAAGATAAAATAAAATAAAACATCGCGTTGAGCAAAATCGAGGAAAATTCAGCATTGCTTCCCACTTGCAAAATGAATACTTAAAAAAAAAGGAAAAGGGTGACTTACATAATCCCGCAACTCCTTGGCCAAACCCTGCAGTCATCCATCCTCATTTTCCTTATACAATATAAGCAATGAGCTCTGTGTATGTTAGAATTGATAACATTTTGCTTGGAAAAGTGTTAAGTCTTCAATATTGTATTTTCAACTTTGTGTTTCAAGGTAAGTGTAGTTAAACAAGTCATTCTAAATAGATCCCTGAATAAATATTCAACTGTATGTTGTTGTTTTTTTTTGTGTGTGTGTGGGGCTTGATGCTAAAAATTTAGTCCAATACAAAATCTATTAAATTCATTCATGTTAATAACAAAAAATACTCGTGTCCATTTTGTATTTAATTATATTTTTAGGAATTTACTATATAATGATGACACCAATATTCTCATCTAACTGTAGCAACCAATATATTGAGACCTATTGGGGAAAGCCTGAAATATGTTCTATGAAGATACAATCTCAATTATCTGCCATTAAAGTGAAAATGCTACTTTTTGAAAGTAGACTAATTAATTCACCCGCTGTGTGCAAAAGGTTTTCCCCTACATTTTGTCTTTATCAGTGTTTTTAAGTGTACTTCAAAGTTGACCTCTTACTTTAATGTGACTTGCTAGTTTGAGCTTGTGGCAAAATGTTTATTGTACAGTAATATCATACATTGTAAAAGAAATAAACTATCAGAGAAAATATTTTTTCTCATATTTTGTATGCTAAAAGCTTCCAAGAAATACTAATCATTTCTTAATTGTTTTCAAATTATCCTGGTACTGTATTTATGGCAATTAAGTTCTGGGAAATTTTTGATCAGCCTACATTGAGGAGCTTCTAGTGCTGTAATGCCCTGAGTATGTAGCCTCATTGCTTGAATAAGGTCATTCAAATGAGGGCAAGCAGCATTGAACAAAGGAATATATTGGCCTGGATGATATTTTTTTATTTGTAACCTAACAGAAAAAGACAAGCTCAGATAAACTATACAGTATATCTATCAGCAAACCAGGCATGACGGCAGATCTCATCGAAAATTTTAAATTACTGTACTGAACAATTTAGAAGATACTGATCCAGACAATTTCCTCAAAAGGTCAGATGTGACACAGACACACAGGAGCAATTTCAAACTCAACAAGCCACAGTGTAGGACTGAAAACAGGAGATACTTTTTCACCCACAGGGATATAAACCCATGGAACCACATAACTGCTGAAGCCATAAATGCCAAAACTGAAAATCCAGCTGGATTTTATATTTATACTGTACGAAAATTTTCACAAAAATGAAACAAAAATAGAGATTTCATGCCGTGCAATGGTGTAGGGTTTATTGGCACTACACCTGGCAATGTGACGCAGTCCCCGCTCCCCCATTCTATTTTTCCATGAACCACCACTGATCATCATTACGCCACTTCAGTGTAATGCCTCCTCAATCCTTAAAGATAGGGAGGCAGTATAGAAATATAGAAAGATAAGGCCAACGATATTAAAATATGACAACTGTCCATTTACCAGCTTTCTCACTAGACATCAAGAACCGACATTACTACCCTCCAACACATCATGCACGGCAGAAACTGACGGCTTAATAATTACAGACTATTCATGCCATGCCACCTCTGGGGTGTCTTAATCTTCATCAATCAATTAATGCTTAATAAGACTATGTGTATAGTGCTTCTCATAAGTTGCCATATACAAACACATCATACATTCACTCCACCTTTATAAACTGGTGCCACATCATCAAAAAAGGCTTTAGCATTTTCAAGTGTTCTTCAATCTCTAACACTTAAATGTAGCAAAATTGTTCGAGGAAATTTGTACTCGAGACCAGAATAAACGTTTCCAGAGGGAGTAAAGTACTACCAGTATTTGATATAAACAACAGAGTTAACAAGGAAAAACTTATGCAGTACTACATCAGGAAGTTATCAAGCAGGATGCATGGATCGAATTCAGATTCAAAAGAATCATGTAAAATGTATGAAAACTTAATTATTGTATGCAGTACTGTATATAGTATTGCCTCTTAGGCCACAAAGTATGTGTATTGATGGTTTGATGTCCCTCCCACCCCCCCCCTATGATTTTTTTTTTTTTGCATTGCCCTCTGTGCATTTTTTTAAGATATGGATGCATGCAAAATCACAACTGTATGCATGTTCGAAAATGCAATTTGTTGGGCCACCAGAGGCTTACAAATTACAGTAACATTTTATTGCTAAAAGCCATAAAATACAACTTTTTGGTTGGTCATAGCATCATAATTGCTACTTTCCTGCTCTAAAAGCAGTGCATTTTGCTTCATACCCACTTATCAATACAAGCTTATATTATCCATAACGTACACATTACAATATATAACAACGTCAATCCCACTTACCTTATTATACAGAATAATACCTCTCTCTCACTCTCTCTGTAATCAATGTCAGAGTAACAGTGAACATAATATTTATGTAACCCTTAATCTTCTGGTACAACTTGGACAAAACTAGAAACAGATTGCCACTGATATGACAAATTGCCAGGTGTATTAGACAATGTTTGTACGCTTAATGAATTACAATTACTGTACTGTGGTTAATGTTTGATTATTGCAAAAACATAAAATGATTTGATATTACTAAAGGTACCAGGAATTTATTGTACTTCATTCTCTAATACACTAGCGTAGTAATGTTGTAGTTCCTGACAAAAACAGTAATTCAGTACCTGGTAACAGGTGAAACTAAATACTGTACTGTACAATTTTTTTTTTTTTTTGTCACAACATGCAAAAATGCCACCCATGTGTTCAGAACATAAGAAAACCTTACAACCTTTCATTCAGATCCCTCTTACCAATACCATACTTTACTAAATTGTAGTTAAAATTTAACCAAATGAAATGCAACTCCAGTATCAACTCACATTTTAACATGGGAATATAAAATAAATATTTGATAGGTAATATGTGCACTGTTAGCAGTCTGCAACAAACAATATAATGTCATATTAAAAACTGCTATGAACACAATTTTTTTATGATAAGCTGAATTTGCTTAGAATCCATTTTTTCCTTAATATGTTTTACTAACAAAGAACTTTCCCTTACAGTAACATCTTCCAAAAATCTTCTTAGCAACACCAAATCTTTTTCAGACAAAAAACTGCCAATTTTTGTGAGTTCATTACATGGCTGACTTGATTTGTGGTCCGCACACAATATACGATTAAATGCATGACCTTTCCGAGAGCTTTTCTCAGAGGCAGGCATAATCCGAGGTATATTTTTCTGATGGGTGAGAGAGTGATTATCTCGCTGCAGACCAGAGGCATAATACATGCCATTTCTTGTCCAATACTCAGCAGTGCTTGACTGCATAGAGTCCAGCATGCTGAACTGCAATGCCATGCACAGCCTGTTCTGAATATCCTCTAGCTTTACATAGTCCAAAGCTGACCATGTAGCTATTGTTTCCTTAAATTTATCTGAATGGCATTTTAGAGGAGCCATTTGTATTAAAGTAAGGGTGGACAACCTTTCTTCAACAGCCACCACTTCATCCTCACTCAGATTGAGGGTAATTGTTGATAAGTCTTCAACGAGAAGTAGTAATGCATCCAAGACTTTTAGCATTTCAGGAAATATTAAAGATGCATTGTGGTGTCCATGTTTCCAGGAAATGTATTTTAATAAGAGGTTTACATACTTGTTTCTCAGGATGTCTATCTTATCTATTTCTTGGATAAGCTTTTTAATTGGTGTGTACATTAGGATGCAATTTGTAATGACTCCAATTGGCCAATCAAACCCCAGTTCAGCAGCAGCTGTATTTAATTCATAAAGCCTGTTGACCAAATACTGAGGGTATACTTGAAGCAAGTCTGAAACATGTACAACTGGGTGATTGACCCTGCTTGTTGATCCAGGAATATACCAACACCCAGAGTCTTTATTGAAGAGGTACAACCCAGCACAACACACAGCTCTCAGTGAGCAGCCATTTAACAGTGCAATTTGATCTGACAACACAAGGTTCAGAAAATCTTCATTTTTGAACACAAAAAAGAACTGTCTTATAACAGCATTTAAGTGGATATCCATGTAATCCAGTGGGGTAAAACCTTTATTCTTATACAGAGTATCTGGCAAGCTAATTGTTAAAACTGCATCAGAAAGACTCTTGATCATATGGTTTATGTGACCAATTTCATGAGGCTCTAAAAAATCATGTATATTTGATTCATCAGGTACATGTGGAGTGAGAATTGGTTGTTTAATGGTTTTGAGCAGTGTGTCCAAATCAGGTAGCTGGCCATTTCTGTCAAGATACCTACTGCTACAACTGCTGTTATCTTCTGCATCCGAATCTTGCGAACCACACAAACTGGACTCGCTATGTACTGGCTCTGAAGAAACCGATTCACTACTTGTATACCTTCGACTTCTTTTATTACCAGTATTAGGTGGGATGCATTTCTCTCGTTTAATTTTCACATGCGGAGCATGCTTCTTTTTAGAATGGGGATCTCGTTTTGAGGTTTCATCTACTAGTTCTTGGTGTGCCATATGGAAGAGATCTTCTGTTCTGAAATAAAAAAATAAATGTGAACAAATGTAAACATATATTGATAAACGTGTGTGCGAGGAAGAGAAACATGAATGAATGTGTGGGGAAACAGGGCAAGGGGGCTATCTGCATGTATATATATGTAAAGGAGGGAAATGTGGGCGACTGCAATAATATTTGTTATTATGGACTGAACAATGGAAATCAGGCTTATTTCCCTTGTTCATTGTTTCCATTGTAATGGAAATAAAAGAGAACAAAAGCAGATAGTATTCACTTACTGTGCAGAGTCCTTCTGGAAAAAGGAACTTGAGACATCGCTACTCTCACTCATCGAAGGAGAAGTACAACTGTGGTTTGATAAGGCTTTATCTTCTGGCTGTTGTTGCTGACTGGAGTGAGCAGTCATCCCTGCAGTCAATCGGGAGATGAGGCTGGTGGGGGTCTCCCATTCACAGTTTTCCTGACCGGAAGGCTTCTTATCCTTCACTGACCATGGTGGAGCACTGTGGCAAGGCTTCCCTGAAGGTGACACTCTCTGGACCAAAGATGCCTGGTGTTCAGGATAAAGATGGCCGTCTGAACTGGGATGTGTTGCTGGTGGTGGTGGTGCACTGTGCTTGAGCAATGAAGGGTTTGCTATAACAACACCCTGTCTAGTTCCTTCTAGCGGTGTCGCTGAATGAGGAGGAGCATTTTTAGTTATTGGCAAGAGACTGGGCACTCTACTTAGAACAGGAGTATTGTCATTTAATTCAGATACATTGTGAAAGTTGCTGTCTTCACCTGGTGGAGATGAAATAGAGGATATATGAGAAGGGGCATATGAATCTCTTGTATTAATCACACCCTGATATGAGGAGACAGTTGAAATACTTCTTTGAACAATGACATTGTGTTCAGGTTCTAAAACATCTGAACACACATGAACCACACTGGTTAGTATGGGATCACGACATACAGGGCACCACTTAACTTCTCTAGGATATTTAGTATCAGACGGATCTTCTGATGAGAATTCAACTTTCTCTTGACATTGATACTTCTGTGATCTATGATGACCATCACTTGAAGACCTTGATGGCCTTTCCAACCATCCTGGAGGGTTCAGCTGGCTTGTTTGATGACCACTAGTGAGAACTGTCAAAAGGGAATGAGAAGATGGTGTTTCATCATGAATTTGACCCGAGGGAAAATGATTCCCCGATGATGTCTGTCCAGAATAGTCTTCTGCATCATAGTAATGAGATGAATCTCTTGATGGTTCACTTATAAGGACTTGTTCTAAAGGATGAGAGTAATGCTGATTACTCTGAGGCTGAGAGTACACTCTCCTCTCATCACTCCTCTGCCCAGAAGGAATGGTTGGCATGCCCAACCGTACCATTGTCACATTCACTTCATCTGAAATGAAAAATAAAAATTTCAATATTTCTCAAGTTGTTGATATCTACTAGAGAACAACAGACAGCATGCAAGTGATTCTAGTTAACAACTAAGCGGACGAGAAGAGAAGTGTCGGGCATGAACTTGAGCTTCAATTGCTGAAGATAAATTTTTTGACAAAAAATTCTAAAGCAATTGCAGTATAGTACTGTATTGACATTCCCATACTGCATTCACCAAGATCTATTGTGTAGCCCTATAGATAATAATCCATATACCCGGTAGATAAATACAGCATAATTTCAATATCTCACAAATTTAAATGTGCCAGTATTACATTTTAAAGTACAGTACTTTAAAAGGATAAACAGCTACACAGACATAAGGTGGAGAGGAGTAGTGTGGGATGCAGAGAAGGGAAGTATGGGACATGGAATAGCAATGTGAGATAGGACCTTAAGTGAAAATTATATAAACTAAAACTGACGACCAGTCCAAGCTATTGCAGTCACATAAAGAACAAACATACAATAAATAATCAAGTGATCAGGCTAAGAAAAGATGAACATGCCCTTACAGATGAGGTCTTCAAGAAAAGAAAGGTTATAGGAGACTGATCCTTTAGACTTTAAGACTGAACCAAAACAGAAGTCAAGTATAGGTGACCAGAGAAGTACAGAGGCATCAATGATCAGCCTCGTGGTTACTGAGAACAAAGAAAAGAGGCCTCTTACTTAATAAAGATGTATCAATGTTGTGTCAACTGCAGTAGAACCAGACTATATATTGATTGCCTTTACAATACAAGATGCTGTGGAACATGATGTTTTACATGGTTTACAATGTAACCCAATGTAAAGCCAAGAGAGATACCCGATATTTGATAATCTGCCAACGTAGTACCAATATATAATAAAAGTGGGAAGGGAGGATGCCCTAAATTACAGGCTAGTAACCTTGGCATGCATTCCTTGTAAAGTACTGGAGAAAGTAATCAGTAGGAGGACTGTAGAACATACACAGAGAACAAATTTTGTTACTAAGAGGCAGCACAGATTTACAATAAGTCGGAGCTGATGACCCCGAGTGTGTTTTACAATCCAATCACAAAGATTACCCAATGTATGCAAATAACTGCATTAGACCTATGCAGTGCATTATAAAACTTCAGAAAGTCTATACAGTGCACAAGAATAATTGTAGTATACAGTAAATGCAAAGCACTAAAGTATACTGTATAATGGAGCCTGGAGCAGAGCGCTTGAGCGAGGCCTGGAGCAGAGCGCTTGAGCGAGGCCTGGAGCAGAGAGCTTGAGCAATGGAGCCTCGAGCAGGTGAGCTTGAGCAATGGAGCCTGGAGCAGAGAGCTTGAGCGAGGCCTGGAGCAAAGAGCTTGAGCGAGGCTGGGGGTAAAAAGCTCTTAGGAGGGTGAGAGTGAGAGACTGGATCGGAGAGCTAGAATGCTGGGAGAGAGCAGGTTGCTTGAATAAGGTTGGGGTGAGCTGTCTGCTCTATAGTGTAGCTGTAGTGTCTTGTGAGAGTGTTGGAACCAGCTGACTCATCTAGTGTTACATTGTATGCTGATGAATGTTGATGGCGTTGGAGAAGATCCTCAGTATATCCTGAGCGTTTGTCATTAAGCCACTCTTGGAGTTGGATTGATACTGCAACGTTCTTGATTGGCTTACATTCAGTCTGGTCTTTCAAACATTCCCAGTATCACTAAACCGTTGTACTAAATTGCCCGAACCTAACCTACCCAAGGATCCACAACAAAAAACCGGGAGAGACAACGTGGCTCTCACATTGCATCAATTGTGAGAGCCACTAATAACTGTAGTACATCTGATTTTGGCCTTAGGGAAATTACATGTCAAAATGTAATGTACTTTAAAGGAGAATGGATAGGATTTCACACTTCATCTGACCTTATGGTGAGAAAGTTTGCTTCTGGCAAGTTGATCATCATTGGATCTGACGGGAAAACTCGCTAGTTACTTTTGGCTTTCCTAACAGAGTCGTAGAAACATTGGGGGAATATGTATTAGTAGTATTTCAGTTGTAATTATTGTAATTTACAGATAACATTAATGTTGAATATGATGGCAAGTGTCATTATGGTGAAAAGTAGCTGGCACAGTAGAAATTATATAGCATGCTGCAGGATGAAATGAAAAAGAGAAAGTCAGAAAGTGAGTGAAAGTTAGAAAGTGAATGGTAGTGTGTGTTACACGGTGGGAGAAAATTGCAGTGGTGCGAGGAGAGGTTGGGACAAGGGTTGTGTGCATAAAGGAAGTCTTGTATTATGGAAAGGCTTTTGTGTTTGTATGGTGGAGCATGTTCGTGGTGGTTAGTGTGCTGGGGGAGGGGAGGGGGGGATGGTATCTTGGGGGGGGGGGATGGTGTGATGGGGAGGGGGGATGGTGTCTTGGGGGGGGGGGGATGGTGTCTTGGGGGATGGTGTACTGGGGGATGGTGTACTGGGGGATGGTGTGCTGGGGGGTAGTGTGCTGTTGGGATGGTGTGCTGGGGGGTAGTGTGCTGTTGGGATGGTGTGCTGGGGGGTAGTGTGCTGTTGGGATGGTGTGCTGGGGGAATAGTGCTGGGGGGGGGAGGAGGTACGTGTTAAGGGAAGGGAACTATCAGGAGAATTCCCAAGCCATTAACACTATTTAGCATTGGGAAGGAGTCAGGATAAGGATTTGGGATGGGATCATGGGAATTGTCCCCTAACCACTTGGCCGGTCGGGGATTGAACGCCGACCTGCACGATGCGAGACTCGTATGGGGTTGTGGTGGATCATATGTGCGAGTGTGTTCGTTCGTGTTTGCTGTAGAAACTTTTGCATGGTGGGTCAAGGTGAACTTCACGCTACAACTCCCTAAACAATGACACTTGCGCTCCCTCTTCCCTACACCTAGTGATCACACAAGCCTGGGCTCCTCACCCAGCCTTCACTGCTCATGACCAAGAAAGCGCTCATGTTAACACACAATTTAGTCACATGTTTATACTCAAAGGTCTATCAACATCCGGAACTCTAATCAGTTCTCTCCTAGGGGTCTCTCCCTAATCAATGCCGCGCCCACTTTCACCAGGCCGGTGAGTGAATGCTGGTGGAGTGAGTGATGGTAACTTGGGCCAACACCGAGTAGAGAAGAATGTCCTTGACGTGAGATGTGATGACCCATTACTGACAGATGAGGGGACGAGACAGGTGCTGAGGCTCTGATGAAAATACTGGTAATGGTGGCTAGCTTGCCAGCAACGAAATAGTTTTGGATCGTAATGTTATGTGACCATGTTACGTGTGTTCTGATTTACATAAAAATTAAAATAGTGTTCTGCTGGTCCCTGTTTGTTGTCATTCTGCTCTATTACCAGAGGTTTTGTTTTGAGGAAGATACAAGAATATTATTTACGTAAATTATCAAAGTATGCGCCACTAGTTGTTTCTCTGTGTTCCAATGTTCAGTGTTGGAGCTAAATGATGCACTGAGCTTTTGTATAGTGTAGGTCGGTGCAAACTCGTAATGTAGCCCACCTCAACACCATACAATGTTGCAACCAGATGTTAATGACCAGAAAATTATAGCTTCCACTAATATTGTAGTGCTGTATGAACATTTGAATAATACTAACTGCTGTTGACACTGCTCAAACCCACCATACGCGTCCAGTCACGCTACGTTATTAAGCGAAATATTAACACATTAAATATCCTCCATCGTGATAAGAACATTTCTAACAGCAGACAATAGCTCAGAACTGTGTACTAAATTGCCCGAACTTAACCTAACCGATGACCCGCAAATAGAAAACGGGACATCACGTCCATTTTGCGAGCCGCTATGATTTTTTTGGTCATAGAGGATTAATACGTCAAAATGCGATGTACTATTCGAGAGGACTGGTTGCGTAAAATTGATGTGATGTCACGTTTTCTATTCGTGGGTCCTCCGGTTAGGTTAAATTTGGTTCGGGCAATTTAGTAATCAATTTAGTGACGTTGTGAAAGAGGGAGAGGAGGCCATACCTTGAGCTATGGGAAGGGAAATTAGCTCACTGGTTGTTAACAGGAATCAGAAGTCAACTGCTCCTGTACCCAGCTGCGTAGAGAAGGAGCGAGAGGGAGGGAGGGAGGGAGAGAGAGGGCGGGGGTCAATACTAAAGTTTAGGCTCCCTCCCCTCATGGTGTATCGGTGATAATGTCGCAAGTCACGTGCTCAACCTCCCTCTCATCCTTGTCAAACTGCTGTGTAATGCTCTTATCTAAACGTGCTACAGAACACGCCTCGCCCCGCCTGTCATTGCCACTCACTCTCACATCCAAGAAATGTGTGTTGCTGCTGAATAGTGAGCTGGGGGGGGGGGATAGTGTGCTTACACTATCCCGCCTACAAGTCACCAAATAAGCCCGAGTGTCTGCTGGAAGGAACAAGCCACATCATTGATAAGATGGTTCCCTTTGGGGATTTTATGACCTTATTTATATTTTGTTATGTTAATAATGACGTTATTAACGACTACGTACCATGCAACTCCCCCAACATTAAGACTACAGTCTTACCAGATCATGAGATGCCGTGTTCACCAGGGGCCAGATTCACGAAGCAGTTACGCAAGCACTTACGAACGTGTACATCTTTCCTCAATCTTTGACGGCTTTGTTTACATTTATTAAACAGTTTACAAGCATGAAAACTTGCCAATCAACTGTTGTTATTGTTATAAACAGCCTCCTGGTACTTCGGAGCTCATTAACTGGTTAATAATTGTAAACAAAGCCGCCAAAGATTGAGAAAATATGTACAGGTTTGTAAGTGCTGAAGTACCTGCTTCGTGAATCTGGCCCCTGACATCTTGCAAGGCTTTAGTGTTGGGCCCGTAGCAAATGCTAATAAGTTAATCCGGCCCTGTTCTTACCCAAACGTAACACATACTAAACTAATTCATCTTTACCTAACAATGTATACGATTTTAGCAAAATAAATCGAGGTTTGTCGAATTGTCTTGT